GCAAGAACAGTTGTTCAAAGAACCGTGGATATTAGGAGCAACATCGATATTTGAAAAACAAGGTGAACGATTCAGGTGGTTTCCTGGGCTCTTTGCTCTGAAGTCTTTGTCTGCTTCTTCAGACAGCCGCTCCAGCTTTCTTCTGACGAGTATTTGGATGGCATAGCTTTTTATATACCTTTACTTTTTTATTGTGATCAAAAAACCCCATAAAACTGGGCACCTGGGTGGCTCAGTTGGTTAAGCGACTGCCTTCGGCTCAGGTCATGATCCCAGGGTCCTGGGATCGAGCCCCACATCGGGCTCCCTGCTCGGCCAGAAGCCTGCTTCTCTCTCTCCCACTCCCCCTGCTTGTGTTCCCTCTCATGCTGTCTCTCTCTCTCTCTCTCTCTGTCAATTAAATAAATAAATAAAATCTTTAAAAAAAAAAACCCATAAAACTTAGCATCTTAATCATTTTTTTAGTAGCGTGAAGTATCTTCACATTGTTGTGAAACAGATCTCTAGAACTTGTGCATCTTGGAGGACTCAAACTATACCTCTTAAACCACTGCTTTTCCCTTCTTCAGTCCCTGGTGAGCACCGTTCTACTTTTTGCTTCTGTGAACTTGACAGCTTTAGATATGTCAGTGGACTCATACAGTGTGGAAGCTCAGTCATGTCCCAACAATTTGTCTTTTTAAATGTCCCACTGCAGAAAGTTTCACTTGAGGCTGATAAGGCAATATTCTAGAGCAGGGCTCAACAAACCTTTTCTGTAAAGGCCCAGATGGTAAATATTTTAGGTTTTGTAGGCCAAGAGGCAAAATTGAGAATATTATGTAGCTACTTACAAGAGAGAAAACAAATTTCCCTAAATTTCTTATTAACTCTCCTCAGTATATGTATAAACTACACTATCCCATCATTTCACTGTTTCTACGGTACCTTGCAATTTATTCTTTAGGTCACTGTTACCCACGTTTTCATCCCAACACACACTTGTAATTTAAGTTTTTTTTTTTTTAATTTTGAGTAGGCTCTGCACCCAACGTGGGGCTTGACCTCACGACCCTGACATCAAGAGTTGCATGTTCTACCAACTGAGCCAGCCAGGCGCCCCCACTTGTAATTTTAAAAACTTGAATAACATGTCTCAGCTCCACCATATTAATAACTACTCCTCAGTCAAAAAACTGGCAAAGGAGAGTATTATTATATATTTCTAGAGGAAATTAAAAATAGAAAGGCAAGTGTAATTATTTAATTGTACATAGTAGGAATGACCTGTACATGTTTAGGGAAGCAATCAGACTCCCTTGAGATTTTTGTGAAGCATGTAGTTATGTCTCATTATAGTGCAGAAAACCTAATTAGAACCCCATGAACAATCAGAGATCACTGAGACTCCAGTTTTTTCTTGCCATTAGGGAGTTCATTCACATATAGGTGGACTGTGAATTTTTTATCTGCTTATATTTCACCCTTTGCTTTAGTTGGTAGGAAGCCTAAAGGTGAACTTCTGGCCCATCTTTAGTAATTCTGGTATGTACTTTTGTGTATGAACTTTACTCTTGGCTTCTTTTATTCTTAAATGCCTTCTATTTATATTTTGTAACATGTATTTTGGTAACGCAAATCTTTTCTGGAACACAGTGGGATATAAGTGACCAAATAAACACATGAATACATGAATGGATATACAAAAACTATGATGAATAAAATTAGATAAGATGTATCCATAGTTTAGGCACAGTTTAGGTTCACACAGCAGTGTACTCACTCCATATATGGTCTGTAAAGTGTGTCGCCCTGAGAGGGGCAGCCTGAGTGGGGGCCCTGCTGCATCTGCTTCTTTCCTCCCCTTTGCCCCAACCACCAAGGTGGTCCCTCTCTGGTTGTATATGGCATCTAGATTTTATTTCAAGGAAGGGTTTCATTGCAACAAAAAGTATAAATTAGACCATATACTACACACTCAGTACACACCTATCAGCTGGTTGTATTCATCTAGTGAATGTGTGGAGACTTAGGTTCTTCACTTAGTCCTACAGCCCGGAGCTAAGGTTTCAGGCACATCACCAGGTCTCTAGGGTTGCTTCTCTGACAGCATCTCTAAATAGGCAGAATACTGTTTGAACACTATCATCACATACCTACAAACCTCAGAAGTATTTTATAGGATGAAGAAGCAGAGATGACTATTTATCTAAAGTCAAATTAAGAGAATCCTAGGTAGAGGAAGTAGTAAAATCATAAATTCATTTTTGCCATTAGAAAGTAGATATAAGTATTATGATCTGGTAATGCCCACTTGCTCTCCACTATTTAAGTGTACGAAGCCTTAAAGGAGGAAAGCAGTCCTTCGGCTTCCATGTGCTTGGATGTATGTCGCACATGCTGCACACATGCTGGAAGCCAGGGCATCTTGCTAGTTGCGGAGTTTCAGGATCCATTCTGATTGCTGCTCCCCAAGGAGGCAGGAGGTGTCGATTTACAAGGGATACAAACATTCCCATTGCCTTCTTTTATTTTTTTTTTAAAGATTCATTTTTTATTTTAGAGAGAGAAAGCAAGCGTGAACAGCAGAGGAAGAGGGACAGACTCCGCACTGAGCATGGAGCCTGATGTGGGGCTCGATCCCACAACCCCAAGATCACGACTTGAGCGGAAATCAAGAGTTGGATCCTTAACTGACTGACCCACCCAGGCGCCCCAACCCATTGCCTTATTTTCTCTCAATACTTTGTTCGTATTGCTGAAAACAATCACACACTACTGTGTTCAGTTGTATATACTCCTTAAGGGTCAGGATTTGCGTTATCTATCTGCATCCCTAACTCCTAGGATTTGCTTGGCACATAATAAAACAATAATTAGATGGGAGACAGAATTATATGAGGTCAGGTCTCACAAGTCCTTTGCTCTACCAGCTACGATATGCTTACTTATTCAGTGAACAAGTATCAGTGAGCTTTCTTGTGCAAGGTATCATACTATGCACTAGCTATAACACTTTTGAAATGAGCTATGACTCAGCAAAGAGCCAAACTTATTATGACCAAGCAGGAACCACAGCCTTAGTGGACAAGCTTCGAAAAAAAGTATCTACTTTCCTCTCTCATAAAGAGTACCTGTGGAGCCCCAAACTTTATTTTTTTCCCTCCACTCTGGGGTCAAGAAAGGGGAGAAGGCCCATGACATACCCAGGACCGGCATTCACTGCACTCAACAGGATACCGTAATAAGACCAAACAATAAACTTTAATTTGGGTATATTACAGTACAATATAATAATTCTTTTGAAATACAAAAATAATTAAAAATGTTTTCCATTTGCAAGTAATCTTTGCTACCAACTGTACATGGTACAGGGATGTTCTGAACTGTGCACATGACACTACATTCCTCAGCCTGCATCCCCCTTCTCTCCTGTATCATCACACGTAAGAGAAACTGCCCTGCAGCACGACTCTGCAATCTTGAGACCCTGCCAACACAGTTCAGAAGTAGCTATCCTTACTAACAGAATTGGATGGTACCCCTCTTAAACTAGTCCTTATGCTTTTTTGGCTCACTTCTATAGACTAAAAACTTTTTAAAAATTAGTTTAAAATTCCAGGAATTGCTACGTTTGGAGTATCTGCTTTTCCCAAAAGACAGGAAAATGGCAGGGAGACGCGAGAGTGTTAAATTCAACAAAAGCTCATTTAAAAGTAAATCACCATCAATGGAAAAGCTTATCAAGTATAGGAAATTTGAAAATAATAGCAATTAACTGGAAGACAAATTTCTTTGCCAAAAGCCACAGAGGTGTTCCATCTGTCTTTTTCCACTACTATGTTTCCTAATATTTTAAGTAAGTAAGAGTCACAAGATAATTCTAAAATTATAGCAGGTTCTGCCCAGCTCTGATCCACTGAATACCTTAGATGCTGAGAACCAACTACTGAAAAAGTAGGAAAGTAGAAAGTAGAAGCTTTGGCATATGAAAAAAATGATGCAATTTTGTTTTCTAAAATTCAGTTATTCGGGCCAGTTGTGCTCTGAACTGATTAGATCTGGGTCTAAGATAAAAGACAGGAACTGAAAGGACCTCTTGCAACTGTCCAGAAAGCAAAGCCTCCCTGAAGTCACTGATCTTCTCTCCTTGGCTGCTCCCCTGCCATGTTCCCGGCTCCATTCTGTACAGCTTCCTCGGCCACAGCGCGTGCCGGGGGCGTGAATTCTTCAAGCTGTCTGTAGTGCTCAAGGAATTAGGACTTTCTTTCAGTTCTCATGCCGGATAGGGATGGCTCTACACTTTGTACACCTGTAATGCTCAGGACCTTAAACTAACAGAAACAAACAAAAAAAGAAACAAAGGTAATCTGGTAGAGAAAAACATGTATGTCTATTTTCTGAAAAATGAGTCATGAGTCTAAAACTGCTCAGTTGTATAATAGGTTTATGTTGCAAGAACTCAGAAACATGGGGCTGGTATATGACTTAGGACAGAGTCCAGCCATTAGGAGGTTCATCAAAGGGCTTTGCACAGTTCATACTTTATTATCATTATATTAATAAATAGCCATACTGCATATATATAATCTTTGTAGCCCTACTTTCAAAATTGATGTTTATTCAGCATGGTATATGAAAAAAAATATCCCTAACCTGTTTTGTTCCCTAAAATATAATGGAGAAGTGACTAAGGCAATTTGTATACTATCTCTTGAATACCTTTAAATGTACCACACAGATTTTTTTCACAGTACTCACCTTTTAAAAAACTCCAGTACTCCTGTTATTCTACTGTAACATGTTATTTATCATCAGAATTACTGCAAGAGTAATCCCCAAAGTCCATTATCTATTAATGAGTTTGATAAAGGATCTTACTGCCACTCTTAGAATCATCTCGCTACTTATAACCTCTGTTCTCCCGAGATTCAGAAACGCATTACGAAATTCTTTCTGGAATTCCGCAGTAAAATGGGATAATGTACAGATGACTAAGATGAAGACGACAGAATGATAGTGACTCTTGAGCATTAAGGGCATTTGTTATTGCAGCGAGGGGAAAATGCCATGGAATGCCAATATTAAAAAAAATGATGCCATTCTCCTTAAAGTCAGTAAATTACATAAGAGTTCTCTGAGTATTTTTGGAAGAAAGGCACCAGACAAGTCCAAAGTCTTATTGCTAGTCGGATCATACAGGAGCCACAGTGTGGACTATGGCACTTAGTTCAGCCAGGAGGCTAGTTCTAAGCAAGTCAGTCACTGATCTTGAGGCTCGAAGGGCAAGGAAGGAAATGTCCAAGAACAGAGCCCTGCATCTTACATTAAACTTGAGGAAAATGATTTCCAATTTCACATCAAAGTGCTGACTGGTTCCCGAGGACTCTGGAGCTATTTTAGACAGGCACTCTGTTTTCTTTGGCCCATTTCTTCATGATCCGGATGATGTACTCCACTTGGGTGTTACCTGTGCTTCTCAGTAAATGGAGCACTTCTCGAAGGGTCTCTCTGAGGAAAAGATTTGAAAGGACAAAGTGTTTCAATACAGCATGTAAATTAAGAGGGAACATAAACTCATACTTTTTCTTCACATACTTCCAGTAGGACATCTTCGGTAATAGACTGTGTCACTATGTATTCACAAACCAGTTATGAACTCCCAAGCCTTCTATTTTTATGGTGGCATAGTAAAATGGAAATTCTTTTTTCAATTTAAATTCAATTAGCCAACATATAGTACATCATTAGTTTCAGATATAGTGTTCAATAATTCATCAGTTGCGTATAACACTCAGTGCTCATCATATCACATGCCCACCTTAATGCCCATCACCCAATTACCCCATCCTCCCACCCACCTCCGCTCCAGCAACCCTGTTTGTTTCCTAGAGTTAAGTGTCTCTCATGGTTTTTGTCCCTCTCTGTTGACTTCCCATTCAGTTTTCCCTCCCTTCCCCTACAATCCTCTGCACTGTTTCTTATATTCCACATATGAATGAAACCATATGATAATCTTCTTTCTCTGATTGACTTATTTAGCTAAGCATAATACCCTCCAGTTCCATCCATGTCGATGTAAATGGTAGGTATTCAATCTTTCTGATGGCTGAGTAATATTCCATAAAATGGAAATTCTATGAACTCCTCACTAACCCAAGTTTTCCTTATTTACTTATACTATCTATATACATGTTATTAATTTTTCTGTCCTAATATGACTTAAGTATTTCTATTTCTTTGTCTATTCTGTACGACCGAGTAGAAGGAGGGTATATCAAGGAGCTGGCTTCAAAGAGTTGGGTTCAAATTCTAGCTCCATACTAACAAGTTGCTTCTCTGAGTCCGAGTGTTCCTTTAAGGTGGTAATCACCATAAACTGGGTGTCACTGCCATATTTATAAAATTTTACAAAGCCAGAGGAATGGATGTTTTCTTCAAGAAAATTAATATATTAATACATATGGAAGACAGGAAAGTTAAGGGCCAAGATTTGACAAATACCCAGTATTTATGGGGTTTTGTTTGTTTAAGTAGGCTCCATGCCCAGTGTGGTGCCCAATGTGAGGCTTAAACCCATGACCCTGAGACCAAGACCTGAGCTGAGATTAAGAATCGGATGCTTGGGGCTCCTGGGTGGCTCAGTCGGTTAAGCATCTGCCTTCGGCTCAGGTCATGATCCCAGGGTCCTGGGATTGAGCCAGCATGGGGCTCCCTGCTCAGCGGGAAGTCTGCTTCTTTCTCTCCCTCTGCCCCTACCCCAGCTCTCTCGCTCGCTCACTCTCTGTCTCTCAAATAAATAAAATTTTAAAATTAAAAAAGAATCGTATCCTTAACTAACTGAACCACCCAGGAGCCCCCCCCCAATATTTATGTTTTAAGTAATATAAATTTAATTAAAATTGTAACTCATGTTTTAAGTAATGCATACTAAAACTTCCCTATTACCTTACCAAATGTATAGGTGACTGCCTACTGATCCTCTTCCCTAAGAGTTCATTTGTATTTTCTATTTCTTTTTTCCCTCAAGCATCTTCTTTCTTTTTTTTTTTTAAGATTTTATTTATTTATTTGACAGAGAGATAGAGAGTACAAGTAGGCAGAGAGGCAGGCAGAGGGAGAGGGAGAGGCAGGCTCTCCGCTGAGCAGAGAGCCTGATGTGGGGCTCGATCCCAGGACCCTGGGATCATGACCTGAACCGAAGGCAGCAGCTTAACCGACTGAGCCACCCAGGTGCCCCACAAGCATCTTCTTTCACCTAAACAAATTCTTTAAACTTGTATTTAGGATTGGAAGTAAATACAAGGCATGAAGTAATTTTTGATAGATTATTTACTTATAAAAAATAATCACATCTCCTATCCATTTACCAGTAACAAATACATTCCACAAAGTTATTTTTAGAAAACCATATTTAGGGGTGCCTGGGTGGCTCAGTCATTAAGCATCTGCCTTTGGCTCAGGTCATGATCCCAGGGTCCTGGGAACAAGCCCCGCATCAGGCTCCCTGCTTGGCGGGAAGCCTGCTTCTCCCTCTCCCACTCCCCCTGCTTGTGTTCCTGCTCTATCTCTCTCTGTCAAATAAATAAAAATAAAATCTCAAAAAAAAAAAAGAAAAAAAATTTAGTTTTAAGTATTTTCATATTTGTTACAAGTGGAGCTGTATGCCATTTAATTTTATGTACTCTACTGTCTCGGTATTTCCTGGAATATGGGAAGGCAAAAGAAAAACAAAAGAATTATCAACCATACCCACTCCATTCCTAATTCTTTGAAGCCTAAACTAAAAGACATGAAAAAGCCAATAGGCAAAGGAATTAGTAGAAGAGATTGAAAAAGACTTTTTTTTTATGAAAATCACAATTCATTTGGAGCCAAATATAGATCTTGCTTTTACATTTGAAAGCTACAGTATGCTCAGTGTCCCTAGTACATATGATTTAGAATGACCTGATTTTACAACATAAAAAATTTCTGGAGGAAAAAAGTCAGATAGAAATATGAAATATCTTAATCTTCTATTCATCATTATAAAACATCATTATAGTTTTGGGTTTTCAGAAGATGGCATCCAAGAAAACAATTCTTTTTCCTCACAAACCAGCAAAAGGATAGAGGTAGTATCTCTTGTCTGATTACTTACTTGGGTTCTCTTCCAGCTAAGATCATCTGGAAAATGCCCACACAGGCACCCCTCTTGCCTTCCCAATATTCAGGGTTGGGATCCAGTCTCTCTAAGACATCAAAAGCTTTGGCTGAATAGTAGAACTGGCCCATCTGATTAAAAGAAAATATTGTGATAATACTTGTACTCAAAAGATTGCACAGAATGAAACTAAATGTAAAGATACCATGAAACAGAACTGTATAAAAAAGTGTATGGTTAGTGATAACATTTTCAGCTAGCAAACTGGATAAAACTTCAATTTCTTATTAAAACAAAAAGGAAAATCACAATTTGAGTACACGGTTCGATTTATATCAACTTACCTTCATTCAGTTTTCAACAATATAACATTTTTCCTACATATAGTCAAGTTATGATTTAATCAACACATTTATCATTTCTTCTAATTATAGTGTAATCTTGATGATAAACTGATGATTGTGATTTGAGCAGGGTATCTTCCAGGTTTTCTCGATACATTCTGTAAATGACTACTATCATTCATTTTATGCTAATTTGATCATGTTCAACCCAAGAGAACATTACTTTTCTTGACCTTGTTCCTAAATTCTCAAAATGCCTAGATGGATACTGCTACTCTAAACACCAAATCTTCTAAATGTTTACTTCATTTTGATAGACCTCTTTCCCAAATATACTACACATTTCCTTGGCCTCATAGAGCATGCCTAATACCATTAAATTCTGCTTAGATGAGTTTTCTTGACTGGCCATTATAAATGTAGGGTTGCCATTCGCTGAAGGCTTCAAATTGCTGGGCAATCCCCCTTGTTCAGGGTGGTTTAGTTACCTCTCAATTCCTGTAAACTGTTGTTCTAAACCTTTGCCAGTTTCCTTAAGATCTCTATTGCATTCTTAGCATATCGTTTTTCTATCTTTCGGGGAAAACACAACTTTTCTCCCTTCAACTCAAATTATATTTGTACTTTCATTCATCCTTCCCTCATTTCTGCCCATTTCACAGGAATAAGTGTTCTTATTCCTTTTCAAGGTTAATCCTTCTTCCTACGTTCTATTCAGATTACTTTTGGTGAAATAACAATGTGAATGGTATATGAAACACAAATGTACAGTTTAATGCCTATAACATGAGTGCAAGTGTAATCACCACCCAGGTCCAGAAACAAGACATTGACAGCAAAATAGAACCTCTCTGTGTCGCTTCCAAACCACAACCTTCTCCTTCTCTCCAGAAGCAACTACTATTCCAACTTTTATGGTCATCAGTTTTTGTCAAAAATCTTTGGCTTTTTTTTACAGTTTTATTACCTATGTATATACCTTTAGACAATATAATTAAATTTTGCTTCTCAAATTTTATCTATACGAATACCATAAATATTCTTTTGTGTCTTGCATATGTTAAGATACATCTATATTGCTGGATATATCTCTAGTTGGTTCATTTTTTAGAACATTTTATTTTGAAATAATTCTAGATTTACAGGAAGTTATGAAGACGGTACAAAGAGGTCCCATGTACCTTTCACCCAATTCCCCCAGTTACCGCTTACCATAGTGCAGTTTCACAGTATCGAAACCAGGAAGTTGACATTGTTACAATGCGTGCGTGTAGTTCTGTCATTTTATCAAATGTGTAGACTCACGTAACTAGCACTGCTATCAACATACAGAACTATTCCATCACCACAAGGCTGTGCTACCTGTTTATAGTCATGTGTGCTCCCCTCCCTGCTCACCAGCCCTAGCCCCCAGCAATCACCAGTTTGCTTTTTTTTTTTTAAGATTTTATTTATTTATTTGACAGAGAGATAGAGAGCAAGCACAAGTAGGCAGAGTGGGCAGGCAGAGGGAGAGGGAGAAGCAGGCTCTCTGCTGAGCAGGGAGCTGGACGTGGCACTCGATCCCAGGACCCCAGGATCATGACCTGAGCCGAAGGCAGTCGCTTAACCGACTGAGCCCCCCAGGCGCCCCTCACCAATTTGTTCTACATCTCTACAGTTTTGTCATTTCACAAATAGCATATATATGTATATGAAATCAAGCAGCACAGGACCCTTTGAGATTGAGTTTTTTCACTCAGGATACTGTCCTCGTTATTCCATGTTAATCCAAGTTATTTTGGTACAGCATAGGAAATATAGTCAATGGTTTATAATCGCGTACGGTGACAGTAGCTACACTTGTGAGCACAGCATAACACACAGAGCTGTCAAATCACTATGTTGTACACCTGAAACTCATGTGATATTGTGTGTAACTATACTTCAGTTAAAAAAATCCGAGTTATGGGATGCCTGGGTGGCTCAGTCAGTTAAGCATCTGCTTTCAACTCAGGTCATGATCCCAGGGTCCTGGGATCGAGTTCCGCATCGGGCTCCTTGCTCAGCGGGAAGCCTGTTTCTCTCTCTGCCTGCCACTCCCCCTGCTTGTGCTTGCTCTCTCTCTCTCTGACAAATAAAGAGTCTTTAAAAAAAAAGATTAAAAAATCCGAGTTATTGTGTGTACCAGTAGTTTGCTCCTATTATATAACTCTAAAAAAGTAGGAGGGACCTCCACCCAAAGTTGGTTTGGATATCAAGAGTGATGATGCCACACACACACACACACACACCAAGAGAGCATGGAAAGATTTCTTACTTGTATAATTGAGTTCTGTGGGGGAAGTAGGTCAGGCCTCTCAAGCAGTTTCCAAATGGCCTGAGAGAGCAAGGCAAGGAGACTGGCTGGGTTTTTATTGTGGCTGGGGGTGGGGCTGGGATGAGTTTCCCGAGCAGGAGCAGGGGCTTGTGTGGTTTGAATCACCTGATGGCGTCAGAGAAGGGACTACCTAGCATTTCTTATCATTTTGTCCAGATGTGGGTCACAGGGGGAAGAGGGAAGGGTGAGGCTTAAAAGCTGTCAGTAGTCAAACATCAAGAAATGGAGTCAGGTTTGTCATCACCATTCCTGTTTATCCATGAGTAGTAGTCCAAGCCAAACCAGTTTGTTTAACCAATCACTACTGAAGGACACTTGGATTATTTCCAGTTTTTGGCTATTACAAATAAAGCTGCTGTTGACATTGGGAATAGGTATTTGTGTAGACACAGGTTTCATTTCTCTGGGATAGATGCCCAAGAGGGTGATTGCTGGGTTATATGGTAAGCATATGTTTGTTTGTTAAAGAAACTGCCTATTTCACAGTATTTATGTTTTTCGTCCTTTTACTTTCAACCTACCTATGTCATTATATTTGAAGTGAGCTTCTTGTAAAAAGCAGATAGTTGGGTCATGGTTTCTTATTCACCCTGTCGATGTCTGTCTTTTAATTGGCATATTTAGACCATTTACATTTAATGCAATTATTGTCATGTTAGGACTTAATTCTGCCATTTTTTTCCTACTTGCTTTTTCTGTTTTTCCTGGATATATAGCACATGTCTCTGTAGTTTGCAGCTGGAGAAAGACATGAGTGTGCAATTAGCACAGAGGGAGGGCAAAAAAGTCTGGGCTTGACCTCTCCAGTCTTCTCCTATACATATCTTTTTCCTGCTTTTTCTATATCGTAATAAGTCTCAGCCATGAATGTAACTTTGAATCATGTGAACCCTTCCAGTGACTCACCAAACTAATGGGTGGCCATGGAGCCACTGAGACAGTAGGTTATGCTAAATTGTTTGTCAAGGTCATTATCTTCCTTTGATCTTTACCCCATCTTCCTCTCATCTCTTTTAGGGTCTTCCTCCATCGAAAATGTTCCTTAAATCTTCTAAAACAATGAAGCGTGGATCACTACATCAAAAACTAGTAATGTATTGTATGGCGACTAACATAACATAATAATAAAAAAATGTTCCTACTCTCTTGAATCTTTAATATCTCTCTGTTCAACAGCTCCACTGCCTAAGGATATACTCTTACTCCCTACTCTAAAAGAAAAAAACCTCTCCCTCCACCTGCAAAAATACTCCCCCACCCCAAATCCCTAACCCTGTTTTCCCTTTTAAGTTAGCAACACATTTCTTCCCTTATCGTTAGCATCAGTTTTTTTTACTGTAGTCTACACTCACTGAATCTGCTTTCTAATCTCATTCTCTTGTCTACCCACTATTGTTTTCTCAGGTCTCATACAGTTCCATCAGGTTGCAGACTTGACATTCTCTCCCTTGGCTTTTGATAAAATAGAAACAAGAAAAACAGGAACGAAAAGCACTTTTCCCCCTCCCGGTTCTTTTCTTTCTTTATGTCCATCTTCATCCTCTGTCTCTTTCACTGATTCTATTTCTATCCCTTAAACACTGGTGTCCACGTGGTTCTCGTCCCATTCACTGGTTAACCTCATTCTCTCCCATACTTTGCTGCTGCTACTACTATTACTATTACGACCACTACCTCCACCACCATTAACTACTATTAACTTCTCTCTCTCTCTCTTTCTTTTGAGAGAGAGGGAGGGCATGCACACGGGTGGAGAAGGGGGAGGGGCAGAGGGAGAGGGAGGAGAGGAGAGAGAGACTCCTAGGGAGGCTCCATGCCCAGAGTGCAGAGCCAATCCCACAACCCTGGGATCACAATCTGAGCCAAAATCAAGAGTTGGATGCTTAACTGACTGAGCAATCCAGATGCCCCTACTGTTAACTTCTAAAACTGCATTTCTAATCCTGACTTCTCACATGAACACCTGAGCTCCAGGCTCACCCTGATAATTTCCCACATGTAGTATCTCTCTACCTGGAGCTCCAAACACACTTCAGATTTAATACATTTACAACTGAACAAAATTCCTCTCTGAATGTTTTCTTTCCCTCTGCCTCCTCTAACTCACTCAATGTCATTGCCATCTACTAAGTCATGTTAAACATTTTTAACTTTCCTATGTTTTAAAACCTTTTCCATTGATGGTGATTGACTTTATTTTAGTAATTATTCACTTTGAAATGAGCTATTATTAATTAATTTAACACTAGACTCTTTTTACCTAACATTTGCATGTCTTTTGGACAGGAAGAAATATTCCAAAAAAAGGAATTTCCAGAATTTGAGGCTAATTTGTAAAAAAGCTTTTAATCTATAGGATAGGGCCCCAAAGTCCTCTCTCCTTCTCCCTGCCTTTCCAACTCCCCCCCCTCCACACACACACAGAGCCAGTCCTTTACTAAATCTGATTGCTTTTTTATTCTTTTTTTTCTGGTTCCTTTGTCTCTCCTGTCTACAATTTGCACCTAAGTATTCCCCAAGGTTTGGTTTGCAACTCTCTACTCTTCTCACTTTCCTTCCTTACCTAGGTAATCTTGTTTTCCAGGGCTTTAATTACTATTGAAATGGTGACGATTTCTCCAAATCTATGTTTCTACATGTCAGAAGACATCTTTCTTGAGTTTCAGAACCAAGTTTCCAACTACCAGATGAACATCTCTACTTCAATGGTATCTAAAGACTCACACACAACCTTTAGAAATCTAAAACAATCTCTCTAAATCATTGTTTCATATACATTGTTTCATAATTCACTTATATGCATACATACTTAATATACATGTAAAACCCTGAAATGCTGTCTATCTCTGAGTTCAGTTTGTTCATAAAAGGGATGACATTTCTTCTTCTTTTTTTTTTTTAAGATTTTATTTATTTATTTGAGACAGAGAGAATGAGAGACAGAGACCACAAGAGGGAAGAGGGTGAGAGGGAGAAGTAGACTCCCCACTAAGCGGGGAGCCCGATGTGGGACTCGATCCCAGGACTCCAGGATCATGACCTGAGCCAAAGGCAGTTGCTTAACCAACTGAGCCACCCAGGCGCCCTTCTTTTTCTTTTTTAAAGATTTTATTTATTCATTTATTTATTAAAGTAGGTGCCACACCTAGCATGGAGCCCAACATGGGGCCTGAACTCACGACCCTGAGATGATGACCTGAGCTGAGATCATGAGTCAGCCACCTAACCACTGAACCACCCAGGTGCCTCTAAAGATTTTATTTATTTATTTATTTATTTTTTAAAGATTTTGTTTATTTGACAGAGAGAGACACAGCGAGAGAGGGAACACCAGCAGGGAGAGTGGGAGGGGGAGAAGCAGGCTTCCCGCGGACCAGGGAGCCCGATGTGGGGCTCGATCCCAGGACCCTGGGATCATGACCTGAGCCGAAGGCAGAAGCTTAACGACTGAGCCACCCAGGTGCCCTAAAGATTTTATTTTTAAGTAATCTCTACATCCAACGTGGGGCTTGAACTCACAACCCTGAGATCGAGAGTCCCATGCTCTTCCAACTGAGCCAGCCAGGAGCCCCAGGGATGACATTTCTGATAGTTCTATGTGAATCCTCTTACCAATGGCCATTTAATCTCTAGGACACCTCTCCCTAATAATTAATCAGTGTAGCACGTGAGACTGATCTTCAGTTTTCCCTTTAGATCTCACTCAGACTCACCTTGTAGCAGTCATTAGCAATGAGCTGTAAGAGGCTAAAGGACTCGCCAGAGGTTTCCATCTTGAGATAAAGTTCCCAGGCTAGTCTTGGTTTCTTGTTCATGATATCTACAAAAAGAAGCAAAGATTTTTGCCTCTTAAATGTATAGGAAATATAATTCTGCATCTTGTTATTCTTTGGATTTGGTTCTATGTTCCAAACAGACAAAGAAATGGTAAACAGCTCTTACGTAGAAAGCTTGCAAAGTTAGCATTAAGCTGGTTCTCCATCAGAACTCTACCACATGTAAAATACTTAAGTTAGGATTCACATAATTGTGTGTTTTTAGATTGGGTTGATTTCCAGTAGTTCCCACTTTTCTCATCTGCTTAAAAGTCATGTATCATTCATTCAATCCTACTTACATAGTTTCAGCCTCACTTAGAACATCTGATTGCTGAAATTTTCCCATGACTTTAAAAACTCTGTGAACATTTTAAATCCAGGGGAAAAAAAGAAGCAAGAAAAGATAATGAAGGGGGAGAGACAGACAGAGGTTGTAGGCTATATAATATACAAAAATATTATGTTTTTGACATTTTATTACTTTTCAGGCCTGCTTAATTATTATTTACTCATTCTATGAAACAAAATTAGAAATGTTCACTGTAATTTCCATCCAGGAGATTATGCAACAGAGAAGAAAATGAGGATTCCTCTGTAACATTTAAAAGAAGACTCACAGCACCGAGCTAACCAACTGAGGTAAATGTAATCATTTTTCATCTTCTCACTTTGGATTAAAAGGAAAACCTGTAAGAAGAGGAAAGAAAGGGAATAAACATGAAGATATTTTTGCGGTAAAAATACCATAGCAGCTTGCCTTATTTGATACTTAGTATAGCCTTACAGATGGTCAAATTCTCTACAGGTTACTAAGAAAAGGACAAAACAATGGTGATGTTGACACACTTCTCTCAGTTATTGATATCACAAGCTGACTGAAGAAATTTGGTAAGGATATAGAAGATTTGAACAGAATAATTAACAACTGCGTAACACCTATTTTGTTCAAGGACACATGACCATGTTACTGGGCAGTGAAGCAAGCCTCAACAAATTTTGAAGGACTGGTGTATTTTTTTTTCCTAAAGATTTTATTTATTTATTTGACAGAGAGAGACACAGCGAGAGAGGGAACACAAGCAGGGGGAGTGGGAGAGGGAGAAGCAGGCTTCCCGTGGAGCAGGGAGCCCAGTATGGGGCTTGATCCCAGGACCCTGGGATCATGACCTGAGCCGAAGGCAGACGCTTAACGACTGAGCCACCCAGGCACCCCAGGACTGGTGTAATACAAAGCACACTGGATGAGCACAATACGATTAAGTTAGAAATCAAAATGAAATAGCCTGGGCAAGATAATACACATACTTGAAAATTATGACACACATTTTAAAATAACTCACAAAGAAGACATAATGGAAGGTAGACAATAATTAGAATTTGAATAATAACAAGTGGAACAATTTGCTAAATGATAACCAAACTGAATTGAATAATTCAGCTGAATTGCTTTGAATGATTCAGGCAAATCAGTCTATGGAATTAGAAGTCAAAATAGTGGTTAGCCTTGGGAGAAAGGGACGGACTCAAACAAGGAGATGAGGAGGTTTGTATGGGGTTAAGACAATACTGTTTCATGATCTGAGGACTGATTATTTGGGTACATTCACTTCAAAAATTCATCAAGCTCTATACTTTAATTTGGATACTTTTCTCAACATATGTTGTGCTTTTATAAAATATAGCAGAAAAAGGAAAACAGTAATATGGTTATAAAATCTATATGTCTATTTACATTGTCCTTTTTAATGTAACCTAAGAACAAAGGAAATTTTTATAATCCTTTGCCCTGAACTTTTTATTTCAGTGAGAAAAAGATAACAATGTTTTTATTTTTATTATTTTTTTTCAAGTTTTTATTTAAATTCCAGTTAGCTAACGTAGTGTAATATTACTTTCAGGTGTAGAATTTAGTGATTCAACACTTAACATACAACACCCAGTGCTCAGCACAAGTGCACTCCATAATTCCCATCACCCATTTAGCCCATCCCTCAACCCTGCCCTCCAGCAACCCCCAGTTTGTTCTTTATAGTTAAGAGTCTGTTTATGGTTTGCCTCTCTTTTTTTTCTTTCCCGATGTTCATCTATTTTTTTCACTCTGGAAAACAGTATGGAGATTCCTCAAAAAGTTAAAGATAACAATGTTTTTGAACAGAATCATTTGAATGCATCAAAAGCATGTACCCACCTCTTCACCCTCACTGGTATTGCCTGTTGCAGCTTTGGCTTGGGCATAATTAAAGTTAAAGATGTCATCATTGTAGAAGTAACTCTGAAAAACATCCCAAGAATAGGTCACATTGAGTATTAACACACCAATATAACATATCAATTATACTAGATAAACTCAAAAACAATTTTAAGGAATTAGCTGACACTATCAATGTCACTATAGTAAAAGGGCCATCTCTAAAAGTATCTTTTTTTTTTTTAAGATTTTATTTATTTATCAGAGAGAGAGAGAGCACAAAGCAGGGGGAGCAGCAGGCAGAGGGAGAAGCAGGCTCCCTGCGGAGTGAGGATCCCAATGTGAGACAAGATTCCAGGACCCTGGGATCATGACCTGAGCCAAAGGCAGGCACTTAACCAACTGAGTCACCCAGGTGTCCCTCTAAAAGTACTTACTTCTGACACATTATATATAGTATTTTGCAGACAAACTCATCTAGAAAATTCTATACTGACCTTAAATGAGTTGAGGTATATCAAGACATCATCAAATTGCTTAAGCAGAAAGAAACAGGAAGCCATACACTGCCTCCCAGGTATTGTATCTGAAATGGAATGGGAAAAGAAACCAAGTATATTCATGAAACTGAAAGTTCTCTTTAGCTGAAATTTGAGTTACTTTATAATTTAGAGATAGGAATGTATTCCAAGACATCTTTCCAGATTCTGAAATTATAGATTCTATTCAGTGGAAAAACCTCAGCATAATGGAGGTCACAGTACTTGAGAGTGACCAATAATCTCTCTTGGGGCTAACTCACAGACTCCAGAATGAACACACACCCTGCAGGCTACAGTATTCCTCAGATGTTTTTCCAGGGCTTTGAGTCTCTCACCCACTCTGACACGTGCACATTCAACTAACATGGCTTAGTCTCCATCATCACTCATCTAAGACAACCCAGCACTTCCAATCTCAAATGGAGAAATCATTTGCCATGGAACCATCTGGTCCTGATCCTGACCAACTTTCTGTCTGTTTTCAGATTCCTGTTTGAGATAGTAGAGAATTAGTTTAACCCCCACCCTTGCCACTGGATCTCCTATTCATTCTTGCTCTGTTCAATTTTTCCCCCATAGCACTTACTACAGTCAGATATACTATATAATCTCTTTCTTTATTGGGTTTATTGTCTGTCCCACTAGACTGTATGCTCTACAAGGATGGAGGACTTGTTTGTTTTGTTTACTACTATATCCCCAACACTTCAATAAATTTTTGTTGTATGAATGAATCAAATGAAGAAAGGAAATATTATTCAATAAAAGGTTTCAGTGAAACATCTGAAAGAAAACGAATATTCAGGGATGATAAAAATATTTAACAACTAGTTCACCCCAAACACTGTTCGTCAAAATAGATGCTGGCCTTAGACAACTGGTACAAATAGCCATATCAGTTCATACTGGCTAACTATCAGCCCTTTTAATAGCCCTTTCTGAAATCTTACACTCAATCTTGACTGATGAAGTCAATACTTTAATAATAAAAATGAAGCAACAAAAGTACTGGTGGGAAATATAAGTGAATATTATACTGTGGGGGCACGAAAGCACTTTCTAAGCTAGATATCCATGTAAGATATCATTATAAAAAGATAAGCTTCGATAAGGTTTAAATATTTTTACATGTGAAAAAAATACCATAGGGAAAATTAAAAAGCAAATGACACACCGAAAAAATATCTACATGATGAAAGTCGAATATATAAAGAGCCCTTGAAAAATCAATAAAACACAAAAAGATGGAAAAACATTCCATGCTCATGGATCGGAAGAATAAACATTGTTAAAATGTCTATGCTACTCAGAGCAATCTATACCTTCAACGCCATCCCAATCAAAATTCCAATGACATTTTTCAAAGTGCTGGAACAAACAATCCTAAAATTTGTATGGAATCAGAAAAGACCCCGAATCGCCAAGGAAATGTTGAAAAAGAAAAACAAAGCTGGGGGCATCACGTTGCCCGATTTCAAGCTATGTTACAAAGCAGTGATCACCAAGACAGCATGGTACTGGCACAAAAACATACATATAGACCAATGGAACAGAATAGAGAGCCCAGATATGGACCCTCAACTCTATGGTCAAATAATCTTCGACAAAGCAGGAAAAAAAATGCAATGGAAAAAAGACAGTCTCTTCAATAAAATGGTGCTGGGAAAATTGGACAGCCACATGCAGAAGAATGAAACTTGACCATTCTCTAACACCATACACAAAGATAAACTCAAAATGGATGAAAGACCTCAATGTGAGACAGGAATTCATCAAAATCCTGGAGGAGAACATAGGCAGTAACCTCTTTGACATGGGCCACAGCAACTTCTTTCAAAATACTAGCCTTTCCAAAGGCTAGTGAAACCAAAGCAAAAATGAACTTTTGGGACTTCATCAAGATAAAAAGCTTCTGCACAGCAAAGGAAACAGTCAACAAAACAAAGAGGCAACCCACAGAATGGGAGAAGATATTTGCAAATGACACTACAGATAACGGGCTGGTATCCAAGATTTATAAAGAACTTCTCAAACTTAACACCCAGAAAACAAATAATCAAGTCAAAAAATGGGCAGGAGACATGAACAGACACTTCTCTGAAGAAGACATACAAATGGCTAACAGACACATGAAAAAATGTTCATCATCATTAGCCACCAGGGAAATTCAAATCAAAACCACATTGAGATACCACCTTACACCAGTTAGAATGGCAAAAATTGACAGGGAAAGAAACAATAAATGTTAGAGAGGTTGTGGAGAAAGGGGAACCCTCTTACACTGTTGGTGGGAATGCAAGTTGGTACAGCCACTTTGGAAAACAGTGTGGAGGTGCCTCAAAAAATTAAAAATAGAGCTACCCTATGACCCAGCAATTGTACTCCTGGGTATTTACCCCAGAGACACAGATATAGTGAAAAGAAGGGCCATATGCACCCCAATGTTCATAGCTGCAATGTCTGCAATAGCCAAACTGTGGGAAGAGTCGAAATGCCCTTCAACAGATGAATGGATAAAGAAGATGTGGTCCATATATACAATGGAATATTACTCAGCCATCAAAAAGGATGAATACCCAACTTTTACATCAACATGGATGGGACTGGAGGAGATTATGCTAAGTGAAATAAGTCAAACAGAGAAAGTCAATTATCATACGGTTTCACTTATTTGTGGAACATAAGGAATAGCATGGAGGACATTAGGAGAAGGAAGGGAAAAATGAAGGGGGGGAAATCAGAGGGAGAGATGAACCATGAGAGACTATGGACTCTGAGAAACAAACTGAGGGTTTTAGAGGGGAGGGGGGTGGGGAGATGGTGATGGGTATTAAGGAGGGCACATACTGCATGGAGCACTTGGTGTTATATGAAAACAATGAATCATGGATCACTACATCAAAAACTAATGATGTATTGTATGGTGACTAACATAATAAAATAAAATTAAAAAAAATCAATAAAAGTTAATTTTTCAGATCAAAAACAGAATCAAATTTTAAAAACTCTCATGAACTAAAGATTACATTCATTCTCTTCTATTTATATAATCTCTCATCCCACTTCAGCTGAGATGTTGAGAAGACCTAACCCAATATTCTCTCCTGTGTCTCTCCCACAGGACTTCCTACTTGATACTTTGATACTTTTCTTTCAAGTCTGACACATGTAACCCTGGACAGAGACTCAAACTTCACCAGTCAATATATGACCAACTCCAATTATGAATCATGTGAATGAGTACTGATTTCAGACATACCACACTCACTCGCTGACCCTCCCACCAGCTGGAAGAACTGCTGGGCAATTTTCATATGGTCCCTCTGAAAAACAAAGCAGAGCTGAGATAGCTGCAGAAGCTGAAAATATTTTATTTGTATTACACTTTATGGTTTTAAAATATGTGCCAGGATTTAACATACACCCTTGTTTTACATCCTCTCCCAAACAAACAAATTTTTATTAGCATAAGTACTAGAGAATCATAACCTGAAACTAAATTAAAACCTACCCTGGGTCAGATAAGAAAAGAAGAAAAAAAATCCAATCCCCAAACTCTATCCTAAAAGTAACTTCATTAAATGAACTCATTCATTTAGTCATTCATTCACACATTCAACAGATACTGCTCTTTTATCATATATTAGACCTTGTGGTAGGAGCCACAGTTATAACAAGGAGTATTAATTCAATATACTCATTCACTTATTCAATAACTATTTACTCCCTATCTGCTATATGAGGCACTGTAGAGTGAGCTAAAGATAAAAATATTTATTTATATCCACTTTGTTCCCAAAAGAACTTAATGTACCATATTCAGATGAATAAGAACTTAATTTTAAACAATGTTTTGGTGTTTATAAAAGTCTTTGCCAAAGAAACAACTATCCCCATTTTACAGATGCCAAAATTATAGCTCAGGGGTATGCAAGGTTAACCAAACTCACTGAAAATAAGAATGAAGCTGTGCAATGATTTGCAGTTATTGTTAGATATAAACACTGCTTAAAAAATTGGGCTTTTAAAAGAGGAAACAGCAATTCTTAGAGTTAAAGCTTTCTTTTTTTTTTTGTCTTTAAAATCACAGAATTCTTTTTATAATGGAATCTGGGTTGGGAGATATGGAGACAGGAAAGGAACTGTAGATAAGCCTATTTGTGAGCTTACTGCTGGTGGGACTTTAACATTCATTTTGATCTTTTCCACACACTATAACTGCAACTATAGATTACCAATGATTTCATACTCACCGAACCCATTTCCTGGCCAAGGGCCGCATTGACTACTCCTTTGAGGATATACTCCTGGCAACATGGAATAACACTAATTAATTTCCAAAGAATGTATAGCTATGAAAATTAATTTCGACTTAATGCTATATATATATATATATATATATATATAATCAAAAGTTACCCAGAGTCACTTTTCTCTGTTCCATCCCTGGCTTGAATGAAAGCATTAGGAGACTTTAATTTGGTTTTCAGGAAAGTGTCCATATAATAGAATTCACCATATTTGTAAATTTACAATCTTAAGCAGAAAAACTCAGTGGAAACCTTGAGAAGTTTTATTTCAACTCAATGGAAAAAATTAACAATAAAACATTTATGTAACAATTTTTATCACTTTATTAGCCACTGCCATTCTTTGTGACTACATCATATATATTATCTTCCCTTTCTAATCATATAATAACTTTTATTTGCTAAAAATCCGTTTCCTAAAAAAAAAGTATCCTCTGATCTCCATTTGTAAGGTATTATCTCTTTTGGAACCCTGGAGCCTCACCTTTATCGCTGTCAGACTTGGGTCTATTCTTTGATAGATACCTTCCTTAGCAGCTTTATAAATTTTTTATGTAGGTACTATTTTTATTTAAGAGGGTTCATAAAAAGAGCAGTATAAAAGATGCTGAAACTTTTAATACCCTGGAGAAATGTATCTATTTAGATTTCATGGGGTCTAGAAACATTTCAGTCTTTCATTCAGTAAGTGCAATATCTGTTACATGCTTAGTGAACATAGTGTTGGAAATACAAACAGACACAGGCCCTGACTGCAAAGAGCTAATAACAATCTAGTAGGGGAGAAAGACAAGTTACAATTATACTAATGAGATAAGTTTCTATATCTTGTTAGTTCCATCAGAATTCTAGATTTTAGTTTTTTCAAAACTCAACCATTTGGAGGAAATGACCACATATAAGGGAGTTTAAAAACATTAAAAAATCCATAATGTTTGGGGCGCCTGGGTGGCTCAGTCATTAAGCGTCTGCCTTCGGCTCGGGTCATGATCCCAGGGTCCTGGGATCGAGCCCCGCATCCGGCTCCCCCGCATCCCTCCCTGCTCTACGGGAAGCCTGCTTCTCCCTCTCCCATTCCCCCACTTGTGTTCCCTCTCTCGCTGTGTCTCTCTCTGTCAAAAAAAAAAAAAAAATCCAGAATGTTCATTTTCATATCAAAAGTCTCACAGGACATTCCTAAATCAATATATATGGTCTTTCCCGAGATTCTACAAGCTGGAATCTTCTCTAATACGCCTTCCTGCTATCTTTCTGAAATTGTACTTTCAACAGAAGTTGGTTAGTAAAATGGTAACACATTTTCATTTACCTGAGGAGTAGTAGGTTCCAGATCCTTAATTAAGTTATAAGCTTCTTGTACATCATCTGAAATACAAGAAATAAGTAGCTATACTAGTCTGTATTCCAGCAAACCCTTCTGAAACAGTCCCGAAAAGGTAAGATCCTTCAGCATTCAAACTTTCAGGGGAAGTAAGATTTGTTTTATCTGTCCTCTAACTCTCCATCAAGTTCAATGTGGAGTAATTAGCCTAAAGATAACCAAATATCTTAGGAAACCTGTAAGTCATGAAGCACCTAAAAAAATGTTCAAGCTAAGAATATGGACTGAGTATTAAATAGCAATGGCATTGTAGTTATATAAGTAAAACAACCGATTTTTTAAAAAGACAATATATATTAAGTATGTAGGAGTGAAATGACAGGAAGTCTGGGATTTGCTTTAAGACATTTCAGCAACAAAAAGGGACAGGGAGAACGGATGAAAGAATGGCAATATTTTGAAGACTGTTGAATCTGGAATGAATATTTTGGGTGTGCATTTTGGGTGTTTAAACTATTTCGCTTAGTTTGAAAAATTTTATAATAAACAATTTCTAAAACATATAAGATATTTAATTCTTATCCAAACGCCTATTTCTTTGTGCTTACATATCAAATAGAACTGTTTGCAAGTTCATGTTCTTATTTTAATAAACACTTATATTTTCCTCAGTGAGGAATGTGTTGTCTGGTGGGTTTCTACCATGCACCTAAAAAGGCCCACACTGTTGGTCCAGGGTCCACAACAGAGTGCCACCACCGACACATGGTAGCTACTCTCCTGTACTCAAAACGGTTGGATCAAAGACTGCGTAGGCACGTGTCTAACAATTTTAACCTTACTTAGGGGCAGGAAATACCACATTATCTTTGAATCATAATATTTCTCATGAGAAGCTGGAAGCACAAAGAAACACAAAGGCAGACAATTAGAGCAAATATGATAAAAAAAAGAAACTCAAGAAAATGTGGATGTGCCTTATACATAGAAAAAGAACCACAAGGAAGGGGAAGTAAAAACGGTGGAAAAACTGAAATAGAATGGGTAGAGAACAAAAGACAGAAAAAGAAGAGGAAGAAGGAAAAATAGAATGAGGGAGAAAGTTGGAAGCAACAGAGGAAGAAAGAGAGGATAAAGAGAAAAGGTACAACAAATAAGCACCAATAAACTTGTTCTCTCCTATGAACCTGTTGCAAATATATTTTTGGAAATATTACGGATTTTAAGAACAAGTAGTTCAGTTAGAGATTAAATGTTCTAAAATATCTCATTTAAGCAAAACCAAGACAAATTTTTCTTACCTTGACGAAGGTAGTAAATCACTAAGTTTAACCGAGCTTCAGGAATGACATCAACCAGGGGAGGCAAAACCTGCAAAGCCCCTTCACCTCCTCGGAAAACAACCTAAAGATAGAGAAAGTCTGTTATTACGGCAATAAGTATGAATATATTTATTGGTGGAAATGTTTAATTAAGGAGTTGCCACTTATAACTGGGTACTCAGTTATTCCTTAAATATATTTTTGAAGCTCTCAGTATACACACCACCTTGACCCCATTGAGAGCAAGCTATTATCTAAATTACAATAAATGTAAGAAACAGAATAAAGGCATAAGCCTATTGTATACATTTCCTTTTCTCTTCATAAGAACTGCAGAAAACTCTTTTTTTTTAAAGATTTTATTTATTTGACAGAGAGAGAGATAGCGAGAGCAGGAACATAGGCAGGGGGAGTGGGAGAGGGAGAAGCAGGCCTCCAGCGGAGCAGGGACCCCGATGCGGGACTCGATCCCAGGACCCTGGGATCACGACCCGGGCCGAAGGCAGATGCCTAATGGCTGAACCACCCAGACGCCCCAAGAACAGCAGAAAACTCTTAAAGTACCCCAAAATTAATAAAACATTTTTCTAGACAGATATTCTGTATCAAAAGCTCCACGAAGGGGGAGCCTGGGTGGCTCAATCAGTTAAGCATCCAATTCTTTTTTTTTTAATGGTTTTATTTATTTATGAGAGAGAGAGAGCGTGCACCACAAGCAGGGTTAGGGGCAGAGGAAGAAGAAGAGGGAGAAGCAGACTCCCTGCTGAGCAGGGAGCCTGATCCGAGGACCCTGAGATCATGACCCGAGCTGAAGGCAGAGGCTTAACCAACTGAGCCACCCAGGTGCCCCAAGCATCTAACTCTTGGGATTTTGGCTCAGGTCATGGTCTCAGGGTTGTAGGATCGAGCCCCACGTCGGGCTCTGCTGGGCATGGAGTCTGTTTGGGATTCTCTCTCCCTCTCCCTCTGGCCCTCCCCACTTGCTCTCTCTTTCTAAAAACAAACAAACAAGCTCCATGAAGGAATTTATATAACCTTTCTGAGCCTATTTCCTCATCTCTAAATGGCATTAATAATGTCTACCTTTCAGGATTATTATGTGGATTGAATGAGTTAAAATAGGCTAAATGTGTGGTACATAGTAGGTATTTAATTAACTCTGTAAATACTCACAAGCACCTACCATATGCCTGGAATTGTAGTAAGCACTGGGGTTACAGCAGGAACGAATTACTCCCGTCACTACATAGGCTACACTCAACTGGGGAGAGAGCCTCAAACAGCAAACACATAAGTATTACGTCATATGACAGTAAATGCTATAGAGAAGAGCTAAAACAAAATACCATTCAGGAAAGCAGTTTTGTGCACTGTTGTGTACCCAGAGCCTAGCACAGTGTCTGGCACATAGGAAGTTGTTTCACAAATAAATACACAGAAATCAAGGCCATCAGACATGAACTACCTAATCTCTCCTTTCTAACTCAAAATATCCACTGGGTCATCTTTCTTGATTCTTCCTCGTCTGAGATGTTCCCTTCTTTTGCTAAGATTAATTCTTCTACTTGTCTTCTTGATCTCATGACTTTAAAAAAAAAATTAATTCCAGTATAATTAATATACAGTGTTGTATTAGTTATATTAGTTTCAGGTGTATAATATACATTACTCAGTGTTCATCGTGATGAGTGTAATCTTAATCCCCATCACCTATTTCACCCGTCCTCCCACCCACCTCCCCTTTGTTAACCACCAGTTTGTCCTCTATAGTTAAGAGTCTGTTTTTTGGTTTGTCTTTTTCTTTCTTTATTTTGTTTCTTAAATTCCACGAGTGAAATCATTTGGTGTTTGTTTAACTGACTTATTTCACTTGGCATTATACTCTCTAGATCCATCCATGCTTCCCAAATGGCAAGATTTCATTCATTTTTATGGGTGAAAAATATTCCATGGTATCCACTGGAATCCATTGTATCCATTCTTCGATGAACACTGGGTCGCTTCCATATTTGGCTATTGTAAATAATGCTGCAAAAAACATAGGGGTGCATGTATTTTTTTGCATTAGTGTTTTCATGTTCTTTGGGTTCCACCCAGTAGTGGAATTACTGCATCACATGGTAATTCTATTTTCAACTTTTTGAGGAACCTCCTTTCTGTTTTCCAGAGTGGCTGCACCAGTTTGCTTTCCCACCAACAGTGCACAAAGGTTCCTTTTTCTCCACACCCTTGCCCACACTTGTTGTTTCTTGTGTTTTTGAGTCTAGCCATTCTGACAGGTGTGAGGTGATATCTCACTGTGGTTTTGATTTGCATTTCCCTGATGATGAGTGATGTTGAGCATCTTTTCATGTGTCTGTTGGCCATCTGTATGTCTGTCTTCTTTGGAGAATGTCTGTTCATGTCTTCTGCCCATTTTTTAATTAGATTATTTGGGGTTTTTTGGTGTTGAGTTGTAGAAGTTCTTTCTTTTTTTTTTTTAAGTACATTCCATGCCCAGTGTGGAACCCAAGGCAGGATTGAACTCACAACTCTGAGATCCAGAGGTAAACTGAGATCAAGAGCCAGACACTTAACCAACTGACTCACCCAGGTGCCTCAAGTTGTTTAAGTTCTTCATATATTTTGGATACTGTTTTTTGGATATGTCATTTGCAAATATCTCCCACTCAATAGGTTGTCTTCCTGTTTTGTTATTTCCTTGGCTGTGCAGAAGCTTTTAATTTTGATGTAGTCCCAATAGTTTATTTTTGCTTTTGTTGTGCTTGCCTCAGGGGACATATCTAGAAAAATGTTTTATGGCCGATGTCAGAGAGATTACTGCCTGTGCTCTCTTCTAGGATGTTTATGGTTTCAGATCTCACATTTAGGTTCTTAATCCATTTGGAGTTTATTTTTGTGTATGTTGTAAGAAAGTGGTCCAGTTTCATTCTTTGGATGTAGCTGTCCAGTTTGCCCAACATAATTTGTTGAAGAGACTTTTTCCCATTGCATATTCTTGCCTCCTTTGTCGAAGATTCATTGACCATATAATTGTGTGTTTATTTCTGGGTTCTCTATTCTGTTCTGTTGATTTATGTGTCTGTTTTTATGCCAGTACCACAGTATTTTGATTACTACAGCTTTGTAGTATATCTTGAAATCTGGGATTGTGGTATCTCCAGTTTTGTTCTTCCTTTTCAAGATTGTTTTGGCTATTTGGGGTCTCTCATAGCTCCATACAAATTTAGGAATGTTTGTTCTAGTTCTGTGAAAAATGCTGTTGGTATTTTGATAGGGATTGCATTAAATCTGTAGATTGCTTTGGGTAGTATGGACATTTTGACAATGTTTGTTCTCCCAATCCAATGGATTATCATAACTTTCAACTCGATCTGGATCTTGTTTCTCTATTAATTATTCTATCTTCATTTGTCCTGGTCCTACTTCTCAACTTTAAAAATACACAAACAAAAATCTTTCTCTTGGTGCCATTGTTCCCTCCGGATAGTACCCTATTTTTCTCCTTCCTTTCAATGCCACACTTCAAAACTGTGTGGCTTATTGCTTCAACCTTATTATTCTCTCACTCCTTAATTCCTATTCCCAGCACACTAGTGAACTTACTCTCACAAGTCATGAATTAACCCCTTTAACCAATTCAATGGATTCTTCTGTCCTCTTGCTCAATGATGTGTCTGTAGTTTGGACACTGGTGGCTGTAGCATGACCACAAAAGCATGATTTACTAAACACTATATGTTAGATACGGTGTAAGGTATCTTACATCCATTACCTCATTTAATCCTCACAAGAAAATAAGGTAGGTACTGTAATTTCCCTTATGGCACATATGAGAACACTGAGTCTCAACAATGCTAAGGGACTCACCCAAAGGTCCAAAGCTAGTACATGGTGTAGCCTGATTTTGACCTCAAGTCTGACTGCAAAAGCCAATGCTCAGAACAACCATTTATATCGCTTAGTATGTTTAGACTTTGTTTTAAACTATAAAAGTGATATGTGTTCATTGGGAAAAAAACTTATATATAGTATTACAAAAGGACAAAGGACAATTTCCATGCTCTCCCTTCTCTCTTTAATCCCACTCTCCAAGGGTAATCTCTATTTACTAGCTGATATACCCCTCTAGTCATATATATATATCATGGTTCTTTACTCTGGCTGTACATCATATCCACCTGGGAAACTATTAAGAAAAAAAATACTGATAGCTGAGCCCTAGCCCAACCATTAAATAAGAATCTCTGCATCATTATTTTTAAAAACCTCCCAGGTGATTAAAATGTGCAGTTGTAAATGGCATTGCATTATCTAGGTGATATTTCCCATCCCCCCTTTCTTGTTTTATCTGCTTATTCTCCTTCCTTCAGCTCCTTAAATGCTCTCTTGGGACCATATTTTTCTCTGTTTTTAATCCTTTCTTCCATGTTTAGTTGTCAGGACTGTAGCTATCATTTCTCTTATGAAACTCCTAAATCTACTCTCCAGTCTTGATCTCTCTCCAAGCTTGATTTCCAGACTACTATCTCTAACACATCATTCTCCACAAAAATTTAAGTTGATAAACTAGATGAGAAGTGAAAAGAGGCAGAAGCTCATAATAGAAACTATCCAGAGAAAATTATATCTGTGATGGAGGCCTGAATTAGAGAAGGAATGGAATAAATATAAGACTTTGCCAAGAAAGAATCAGTAGGATTAAGTGACCAAGCAGATATCAGAGGTAAAGGGGAGGAGAGAGTCTACAGCAGAACTGGTGCTAAAAAAAGGAATAGAGAAATCAGAAGGAAAAGGTGTAGGTATTATTAATGCCATTTTCAGGTGAGGGATCTGAAACTCAGCAATATTACGTAATTTTCCCAGTGTCCCCAGGTGTCTGAGTTGAAAGCAGCTGCGCTGTGTCCACAATATTGCATGATCAATTAAACTTTACCTGAATATGGATACTTTTTTTTTATCAATGGCCACCAGAGTCCAGCCTTAAACCTGACCGCCTCTTTATTTTTTCCCTAAGACTTTCCTTTTCACTATGCCCCAGGACACACTTTCTGTTCTAGTAAGCTTAGCCTGCTCATAATCTTTCACATATGTCATTTTTGTTCTAACTCCATATCCTTGCCTTCAACGGACCCTCTAAATCTCAGCCATCCTTCAAAGATGAACTCCAGCTGGACTTTCACCAGAAAATCCTTCCCGTTTATTGTAACCCACAAGGAACATGCCTTTCGGTCTTTGCCAAAATGAATGAACACTTGGACCTACACTGCCTTGCACTTCTTTCTAAATGTTATGTATGTATTACTGCCCTCCCAGTAGGGGTTTCCTTGAGGAAAGGACCTGATATCTGAAACTTAATTTTCTCTCCTCCATAGCAAGGAGGGGTTCACTTTGAGTAGAGAAGTACTTGTTGCAATATCTCCCTTCATTCACCCTTCTAACTGCTGGGAAATACTGAAGTAGGCTAAGACTCAGTTCAGCCAAGACAGGAAACTGCTATTCACCAGATTGTGCCTGATGAGTTCTTTAGCAAATTCAAAGGAAGAAGAAGCGTTGTCCATCAAGCTTTTGAGTTCTGCCTGAAATAGAAAAAGGAAAGGCTTAGGAAAATGACAAGTGTACAGGTCTTATGCCACATAATTGCACAATGTTTTATAGTTTACAAAGAGTTTAACATGCTATTTCATTCATATTTCATTTGTTCCTCAGGACTCAGAGTCAGTGTGATTGTTAACCTCATTTTACAGATGAGAACATTGAGGCTTATAAACAATAAATGATTTGAACCTTGCACTAAGCAGCAAGTTTGAAACTGGTGAGCCCACGTCTGAAGACTCCTACTTAATCTTTTCTTGCAGAGTTAAAGGTGATAAAGGAGCTGAACTTTTGAAAACTGGGGTTGATTCTTCAATCTGATCATTCCACCTATATCCCGAATTCTCACAGTACCTCCTTCCTACTGCATTGGCCTTTATTTACTTAGCACAATTAAAATACCTTCTCCTATTATTTATTAGACTTATCAGATCTCTTCTGTATTCTGTTACCCCCTTCACTCCCTGTAGAACAAACGGTCAGTCACTTCCAGCATCTTTACTAACACCTTAGATTCACTTATCCTTCCTCACTTTCTGTTATTCCTACCTTGCCAATCTATAGTTTTGAGTAATCTTCCTCTCCTCCTTTTTCTACTTCCATCAGTTAGGTAGCTAAGCTTCTCAGGATAAAATAATTAAATTCTTGATTGTTCTCACTAACCACTACAAACTTCTTCTATTTGATCTCATATGGGATTGTGCCTCTGCCTCAGCAACCCTTTTATTAATCCCTCCTTCTTGTCCACAGCAGCAATTCGAAAGTGTTTGGTAATATTAGGCTAGATCAGCAGTTTTCAAGCTTTTTGATCTCAGGATCTCTTTTATAATCTTAAAAATTATTAAGGATCCCAAAGAGCTTTTGTTTTTGTGGGTCATAGCCCACATAAATAGCCCATAGTGCAATATATATTGTATTATAAATTAAAACAGAAATTTTAAAGTATTCAATTAGTCAAAAATAATAATAAGCCCACTACACACTAACATAAATATTTTTCATTTAAGAAAACTGCATTTACAAAACAAAAACTTAGTGAGAAGAGTAGTACTGTTTTATATTTTTGCAAATCTCTTTAATGTCTGGCTTAAAAGAGGACAGCTAGATTGGCATGTCTGTATCTGCAGTTGATCTATTTTGAAATTATGCTGTCTCTGGAAAGCTTCACGGCACACTTGAGCAAAGGAAAGCGAAAAGACAAAATCTTTTAGTATCATGAGGACAGTTCTGATTTCAGGCAGGACCCACCAGAACAAGGGCTGCACCAAGTGAGATGCCTAGGGCACAGAATTTAAAGCAGAACTCACTGCACATGAAAAGATGTTCAACATCATTAGTCATCAGAGAAATGCAAATCAAAACCACAATGAGATTTCACTGCACATCCAATGGGATGGCTACAATAAAAAAGTCAGATAATAACTGCTGGCCAGGATGTAGAGAAATGGAAACTCCTATACACTGCTGGTGGGAATGTAAACTGGTGTAGCTACTTTATAAAACAGTCTGGCAGTTCCTCAATTAAATATAGAGCTCCATCTAACCTAACAATTCCACTGCTAGACATATACCCAAGAGAAATGGAAACACGTCCAACACATGTCCAAGAACATGTACACAAATGCTTATAACAGCATTCATTAGTCATAATAGGCCAAAAGTGGAAACAACCCAAATGTCCATCAGCTGATGAATGGAAAAATAAAATGTAGTCTATTGATACAATAGAATATTATTTGGTCATAAAAATGAATGAAGTACTAATATAGGTTACAACATGATGAAATTTATAAACATGTTAAGTAAAAGAAGACAGTCATAAAAGTTTACATATTATATATTACTTTTTTATGAAATACCCAGAATCAGCAAATCTTGAGTCAGAAAGCAGATTCACAATTGTTTGGGCTGGGGGAATGGGGGTTGATGGAGTTTCTAAGGGGCATGGGGTTTCTTTTTGAGCATAATGCAAATGCTCTAAAACTGTGGTGGTGATTGCACATATCTGTGAATATAATAAAAACCAATGAATTGTACAATTTAAAAGGGTGAATTATAGGGTCTGTGAGTTATATCTCAATGAAGATGTTAAAAAAATAAAACTATAAATGGAAGATATGGATCATCTTATCCATGTTAAAGTGAAAATGACCTTTCTAAAAGCATGACACCGGGGCGCCTGGGTGGCTCAGTCGTTAGGCGTCTGCCTTCGGCTCAGGTCATGGTCCCAGGGTCCTGGGATCGAGCCCCGCATTGGGCTCCCTGCTCGGCGGGAAGCCTGCTTC